TTTTTTTTTTTTTTTTTTTTTTTAATGAAACACCCCATTGATATTACTAAAAGCAGTGAGATTCAAGGTGAGAACATGATTTGAAATAAAACTTGACATGAATTGGCCTTAATTTAATTACTATTGCATTTTTATTCCACATTACTTTATTGTCAAACCTACTTTGAAATGGGAACTACTGATGTTTCTGAAAATGACTGTAAACCACTTTTTTTTTTTTTTTTTCCCCATGTAGTCCTTTTGTATATTGCAGTTCAAAATACTGTGTAACTTCCTGAAGTGGTAAGCAGTGATTTGTTGCATTCACTACAACAAAGAGCTGATTGATTTGTGGGAATCTATAGCAACTTCTCTTCGCTAACATAAGTGGGACCTGGAAAAGCATAAGATCTTTTTTTCTTATAAACCGTTGGGTATTGTGTCACCTGAATTATCTTACTGTAGTAGTATAGCAAATATATGATCTATGTGCTGCCACTGAAGTAATGGAACACAAGTGGGATGTTTCATATAAAAAAGAGATTTCAATTTATGGATGAATAGGAGCAACATCAGAGAAGAAGCACTGAAAAAATTTGCACTGGGAGACAGTGAAAATTCCTTGGAAAAACAAAATGTGAATAACTGAAAAAACTTTGTGAGGCAAGGATTAAGAAAAAACCTCTTTTGTTGTCATTGTTATGTTAAAATATACACCTCAGTCTTGAAGTAATGTCTTTTATAGTAAGCATAACTAAAGAAACTTAGCTGCATCATTAATATTTAGAATGGAATAAAATAACATTTAATTTATTTTGCAAAATTTAAGTCACGGCATAACAGGAATGAAATCTTAAAATAATTTTTCTTTTTTGCCTGTTAACAGTGGAATCCTGTAACAGAAAACTTTATCTTTTTACTTCTGTCTCTGTATGTATGTAATCAGTCTGTACACTGTACATGCATAACACCTTGCTTTCTTCTGTTGCAGGCATATTGACAGGCTTACATCCCTTCACAAACTATGCTGTAACCCTAACTGCTTGCACTTTGGCTGGCTGTACTGAGAGCTTGCATGCATTGAACATCTCCACTCCACAAGAAGGTAAAGTAATTTCAAAGGTCTTGACTTCCACATTTCAGTCATGAATAATAAAACAGGAGAAGAGCTAAATGCTGCAAAGCCATTTGCTGGAAAACCCCAACCTAATTTGATGACAAAGTGCATTGCCAGACCATAATTGCTCCATTTTTTGGGGGGGTGCGAAAATGAATCAAACTCCATACCCTTTAATGACATGCATCTTTAATAGCTGTAATGCAGATTAATGGGCTTTTTAATTGCTGTTACATTGTTCATGCAAGAGCCTTGTCATTAATATGAAGCATCTGAAAGATTAATGAAAGCTTCCTCATTTTACTATGGCTCAGAAGTAAATCTAGAGACAGTCTGACTAAAAAGAATTGATTGTATGGCACAGTATGAAATTGAGAATCAAACGGTTGATTTCCATGGTTTCTTTTAACTGCTAAACACCAGCAATAGGCAACAATTATTTCAGTGTGATGAAACCTCCAAATGCCGATTGAGTTATTTATTAATCACTGTTCAGATTTTCCCTTTTTTTTCTAAACACTTTTACGTGTTGTTGTGCTCAAACTTAAAGGTTGAGAGCGTAAATTAATGTTTTCTGTGCTTACATTAAGAACTAGTGTGGGAATAAAGAGAAAATACATTACAATGCTGACTTTAGAGACTAGGCTGATAAGTAAGACACACCAATTATTGGAGCAAATGCTCCCAAAATATCTGTGACACATCTAACTCCATTCTCAATTAAACATAAAGTTCACATCTTCTGTTTCTATCATCCTAAAACCATGTTAATCCAGTTACTCCAAATTTGTACCAGTTAAATAATGAAGACTTTGACATGTATTTATAGGATAGTGGCTAATCTTCCATAATGTGGAGTGTTTTTCAAATTTCCCTCCCTCCCACAGATCTTTGGTTTATCTTCTCATGTAAACTGGGTAGTAATACAGTACCAATAAAACAAATAAAATTTTAGCACAAAGTTATGGGAATTACAACCACAATGATTAAAAGAATGCTGGGGTGTTGAGCTGCTGCCAAAGCAGGTAGTCATGCAAGGCATTGTCCTGATGGGACAGTCCTGAAAATTTCCATCTAACATTGCTAGGACAGTGTTTTGATGTGGACTTTCTAGCAACTGCCAGCATCATCAATCAAATCAAAATCCAATTATCTCCCCTTGGAAGTTCTAAATAAACTGAGTTTGTTGGCATTGTCCATGAAAGGGTGTAGCCTCTGACAGCCAAATAGTTAATGGGCCCTGTGATGTAAACATGAAATGCAGTATTGTATATTTCTTTCTGGTGTAATATAGTAATTAAAAAGTAAATTGGTTATGTCTTATTTTCTCATTTTAGTGAATAAAGCAGGAATTCTTACATGTGTTTTAAAAAAAAAACATCCACTGTTTTCAGATGTGTTGTCATACTGGGAAGGTTTCAGCAAGAGTAGATTTATTTATTTATTTTTCCCCCAGAGATCAAATAAAGCCATGGGGAACATGTGTGTCATCCCTCAGAAGAATTGAACAAAAAGTCAATGTGTGGAGTTTCTATTTTTGGACGCTCTTGTTGCATGCTCTTAGTAACAATAAATTGATGATACAGAAGACAGACACCATATCACACCCTCCAGCTATCCCTGTTTCCCTATTGAAACATTCATTACTTTATATTGTTTTCACATTGCCAGCCACTGCTAGTTATTGTTTTAAATTGCTAGCACAGAGCTTGTAAATTACAAGATATTCCTCCCAGACTAAGGCCCAAGTTCTGCTCCCCTTGCGATATTCAGTGGGATTGCTTGTGCTTCTAGCATATAACTCACTGGAACAGTGAGAGAACTCGGGTTTTAAATTATTATCCATTGCCAACTTCCACTATATTGTATACATAAAATCTACACTAAACAAACATTACTAAGTGTATTGAATTATGAAAAGTCTGAAATAAGGGTAGTACCTAATAATACAGAATCTGCATTTGTGATTAGAAAGAATGATCACTTTGTAGTTAGGAATGAAAGCAGAAAGGCAGAGAAAATAATTTGTATTAGAAAACTGACTGTACTAACATCGTGTAGCCCTCCCGTTGCTCAGTGTTTACCACACCGAAAATATAAAGTTATATAAGCATAATTACTCTCCTAAAAAGCAAAGAGTTTATCCTTGTCTTTCATAGAAGTGTTTCTGTTTGGCTAGGAAGCCTCACATGTAATAGGAGAGTTCTCAAAATGCTGTTATGTTGCAAGTATAAAATATTCTCCGAAATTTCAACTTTAACAAAAATAATTCTGGTAGTAGCTGCTCACTGCCATTATTTATCATATATTATTATATGCAATATATAATTATATATTATAATATTTGTGGAAATATAATTGTTATACATTTTTTTCACCAGCCCCTGAAGATGTGCAACCACCCACAGCAACATCCTTTCCCACATTCCTGATGATGAATTGGAGTCCACCCAAAAAACCAAATGGTATTATTACACAATATACTTTGTATATGAATGGAGTACCAATTTACTCTGGAAATGGAACTAAGTATGTTGTAAAAGGTGAGTTTTCTGCTAGGTAGCATGTTAGATGAGTATTGCGTAGTTACTATGGATAATTATATGACTGACCCCTTCTTATTTCAGAGGAAAAGAAATATAATTTTAAAATGGACCAGATGCACTTTAAACCCTGATGTGTTCCATTTTTTTAAAGAATCCTTCATAGAACTATCTGTTGGGAGTCTCAGAAATTAATGTCTCCATGGTGTAGCTAAACCTTGTGCTGTGTTATCCTCCTTCACAGGACCTGAGCCATCTTTTTAATAATTTTATAACTTTTTGATCTCATACCATCTAGCTCTCAAAACTGGTAAACTGTAAGCTGTTGGAGACAAGATATTACATACAGGTTTAATAGTTTTTCCTACTGTCTTCATTAAATATGATTAGAGAGACACAGTGTTGCATTTCTGAATAGCCCATGTTTAATTCATTTGTTAAAAGCATGAACTAATAATCTGTTTTCTTCAGATGCAATGTGTCAATAACCAAGTTATATCAGTACTCTTAAACTATTATATAGAAGCTAAATGACTGATATTTGACAGTATGGTGTGAAGCATGGTAATCTGAATTCCTAATTTAATGTAACTGGTGTAGTTTATTAAATGAGGCAAGTTATTTGTTCAGACATCAGTCAAACAACAAAAAACAAAATACAAAACAAAATATTGAACTAGAAGTATCATAGCATAGCATAATTCTGGACCCATCAGAATTTATGTGTGGTAGTAGGTACAAGTAAAAATAAAGCATTTCATATCAGAAAACTCAGGGAAAAAGGGTACCAAGACCCTACTTTCTTTTTAATGGAAGGGCTTAAAATTCAAAGCCAATTCCGCATCTTGAGTTAGTATAAAACATATTTAAAAATTCATATAGTTCAAATTTCTTTGCCTTGCACAGGCCATAAGCTACTGGTGTGGTGGGTCAGTTTTGACACTGAAAAATGAATCCAGTTAGAGAACCTCCTGAAGGCTGTTGATGATCGCTATAATAAATAGTGCACACTTTAAGTCAAACTTTTTCATTCTGTATTCAAAGGTAATGGATTTTTCGTAACCATAGTAACCTTAGTGTATTTCTGGATAAATACATGAGGTATATACATTCTGGTTTTATTTTTGAATATAAACTACCACATTATGTATTACTAATAATATGAAAAATAGGATATAGGTTAGCATAATGACAGCTCAAACTAGTGTGCATTTTTCTTCTGCAAAAAATAAATATTTATCAAAAATATAGGTTCAATTAATTTCTCCCCCCCCCAGTTCTCTGGTATTCATGTAGTGCCATTTATCTTTTTTGCAAGATTGCCATTAATCTCTTATTGCCATACCATAACACAATTCTTAAGAATTTTGAAGTGCAAATAGTTGTGTTTCCAATCTGATTAAAATCATTACTGATAGTGCATCACAGGTAGTTTTACTGATGTGTTTATCTGTGACCTAGTTATAAATTGACAAGCAATGTAAAATGTTTGGGGAAATATTCACCATAGTATATTTTGTTTGGTTTTAGATTCATGTCTGATTCTATTCTGACTCATAGCCAAAATGAATGCTTATTGATAGAAATTGTGGTCAAATAATTTTTGTGATTGTTCTTTGAAAAGATAGAAAAAGGATAAATTAAAAAGGGTCAGGACGATTCCTTATGTTCTACCTCTAAATCTTGAATGATACTTCAGAATACATTGAGATAAACTAGTCTAAGGAAAAGTCATCTGGTTCATAAGCTTCCTAGAGGACCTCTTGTTGCTTTTATTTAGAAATTATTTCTTCTAGAATTTTTGATACTATTCTTCTTATTGATCATTTCATAACTTTGTTTTCAATTAATTTTTTAGGCAGACATAAGATACAAAAAGAGCAGAGAATCTTGCTTATTCACAAGAGAAGGCTAGCGAAGGCTAGCGAATCAGACTGTGTTGCTCTGTGCGGTACAGCACAAGAGTCATTCTTGCCTACCATTCTGAACATGGCATGGAGATCAGTCTGTTTACTTTGGATCCATTTTATTTAGCTGCCAGTTTCTCACTCTGCCTGAGGGGGAAGAGGCAATGTGAGCCAGCAGGCTGGGATTTGGGTCACTAGAAATCCCAGTCAGTCTGAATCAGGTTTATTCAAGATCTTGCTTGGATCTGCATATATCTTTAATTTGACCTTGGCTTTGCTTCCTTTCAGAGCTCAAGATACTCTTCTTTGCAGGTTAGAAGTAGCAGAGGTATAACATAATCTCTTTCTTTTTTTTTTTTTTTTCCCCCAGGGGTTATGGTTTTGCAGTGAAAAGCTGCAGCTTTTGACTTTCCAGTGTTATACATCACTTTCCTACCTTTTTGGCTTTTCCCATATAATTATCCTTTTCCTTTCAGCATTTATGCTAGTGATGTTGGTTACTTATTGCCTCAACGTAGTATGTTATTGACCCTAAACATAGTGGCAAAGTTCATTGTCTCAAATGTTTCCTATTCATTCACCAAAATGATTTTCCTAATTTAATAACTGTAAAACTGTGTTCCTGACCAGCAGCCTATACCATAAAGTCATAGATTCTTTCTGTGTTTTCTGAAATGCTATATCTATTGAAATGTTTTATAAAACCTTTATTTTTTAGGAAGGCATCAATTCTATCTAAAAACTAATACTTCACTGATTTTCACTTCAGAGCATGGAAAATGCAGTCGGTTTAGGCCCACACTAATTAATCCATAACTTGAGGAGGGGTATGTTTTTTCAACACCATAATTGTGAATATATTGTTAACTTAGTTCCTGACTTTGGCAGTTGTTGAGGGCTTGAAATACTCATTGATTTTCATGGAAATTCAAGTGTTTGTTTCCTCTAGGGGTTGAGCTGTAATTAAAAAGGAAACCTTTTAAAAGCACATATGGCAAATGTACACTTTACCGCATTGAAAAGGGGGACCCATTAGGCATCCATCATCCATTAGTGCCTTTAAATATTTTCCCCATACTGACGACTTTGGTTTCTGTGCTGTGAGTAATAAAGCACCAAAATTAAGCCAGCCCCTGTACCACAACAGTCTTGTTAACTGTCTGTCTGCAATTTTTCTGCTTTCAACCTTTACGCATTTGTCGTACTACTCTTCCTCATGCAGTTTGAGTGTTATTTCACATCCTGAATTCCATTGAAAGCATAATGGCTCCAACAGGTAGGGAGGGACAAGTCAAGAGGAGATACTCAGTCCAGGATCCCAGGTGGAATTTATGCTGTGTGAATCTATGTTCCTCCATATGAGAGTGCAGAAGCCTCTGTAACCAAGACCGACTGCTGCAGCTCAGGAAAGCAGTTGCAATAGGGTTCTGCTCCAAACCTGCATACCTTGCTGTTCTCTAGAGATGACCAGCAGCTGTGAGGAGATGGAGAAGCTTTTAGAACTACTCCAAAACTCTTAACATATACACACTGGTTTTATGAAGGCTTTTGATTTTAGGAAAATTTGAGATGATTTTTCCTGTAGAGAGGAAAATATGCTTCTCTCACCCACTCACAGGCACATCCAAGCACAGACAAAATTGAAGCTTCTACTTTGAAACATGGAGGTATCTTAATGTCTGGGTTTGCGGTTTTTTTGTATTTTAAAATTTAAGCAAGGTATTCATTCTTGTTTTCTCTTTTCTTTAAATTAGTCTCAAAAAATTTCCCACCTGCCTTAGATGAAAGAGAAAACAGGGTAGGTTTTATACTGAAAAGTATTAGATTGTAGTGACCTGAGCTGGTGGTGCCAATACCACCGGCGGAAAGGTGTTCTAATAAGTGCAGAAAGGTGTTGTATAAGCAGAGACAGTGATGATCAGATATGACCCAAATGTCAAGTTTTGTTCTGGTTGAAACCTTATTGTTGTGAAGAAACTTCAGAAAAAAGATTAGAGCAAAATATTTCTCTATTTTTAATTGCTGAGCATTTGATGGACTAAGCAAAGGTATTTGTTATCTAACATTTGCAAAGGGAAATGACTGTGTAGGTATCTTTAGCAAACAAAAAATATATAAATCTATTTTTGCACTCGGCACTGAGAATGTTATGTCTGCATTTTCTGTAACACTAGATACTTGACAATGTTAACAAATTGTGTTCTTATCATTTTCCTAGCAGAATCTAATGGTTCTCATCATGAATCTTTAAAAGGAAGATATTCTTATTAAGACTCAGCTGTATGAAACTTATTTTTCTCTGCCAAGCTGAAAGAAGTGTTTCCAGTTTTTCAGGAAAGAGATCCTGTCAACTGTGTTACAAGGGCAGATCCTCAACTGAGTTAAACGAGTATAGAGTTATCCTAAATTACATGCCCAAGAGTTTAAAAAACTGTGACAGACTGCTTTGTACCAGATTTCTGGGCAAAATATTAAGGAGAACCTTGGAAAATGTGAGAAAGAGCTGTCTTCACAATTTTGTCGAAGAGCGTGAACTGAGCTTTGGCTTATTCAAATTGTTATTTGACCTGCGTGTGGAAAGGCTGATCCTACAAAACCAGGATAAAATAGGACCCTTGATTTTCTGTGAAGAAGAGGCAGATGTCTGACATCTGTGAAAAGAGGGCTTAGCATATCTGAACTCAAAAAACGTGAGAACCTCAAATTAGTACCTGTTTTGGTTTTTTTTTTTTTTTTGCGTTGCTCTAAACCACTAGTAATTATGGTATACACTATGCCCAACCATGCACAATTATTACATTTTAGTGAAAAATTGGCAAGATTTTTTATCCCTATGACTATTACTGCTTGTTTTAAATGATAGATAATGATAAAAGCAAAATCTATCATAATATCAATATTGTACAAATTGCCAAGTGAAATGATTTGAACAAGAAAATCCACAGACCTATATGTAGAGGATAATTGCAATAAGATATGTCACTGCAAGAAGCTGAATCGCTGAGAAGAAAATACCTATTATGTTAGGTTTAGGATTTAGTTCTCATGGTTACTTTTTGTACTGTTTTTAGCTGTAGCCATGTTTAAAAACAC